AATGGCATGGGTGACATTGGGTGCTGCTGGTGGTTTTTGGCTCTATAAAGCATCTGCCTTGGAATGCTGGTGTCCAAGAAATGCATGCTGAGCTCCCATACCTTCCTGTAGGCATGATGGACCTCCAGTATCTGTTCAGCAAACTCTCCCAGTGTGAGCACCTGGCCAATCTGGGTAGAGAGCTTCTCCAAGACATCTTGCAGTACCTCCATCACATTGGGCTTGTTGTGTGGTATGAGGAAGTCAAACAACTGGAAAGCGTGGGTTTTCTCCAGCCTACCTTCCTAATAACTATGTTCAAGGTGAGTGTGGGGATCGGGACCATCTCCTCTGCAGGGCCCAAGCTCTGCAGCTTTGCTGGGCTCCTTTTATTGCAGCCTCTTTACTCCTTCTCTTCCCACCCAGCTCCTTGTGAGGTACTGCCTAGTCCAGCAGCTTGAGACACACTGATCACGCCACCATCAGAGACAGGTCCAACTGGGTGTGGACCTTCAAGTCAAAGGCAATGCTGTCCCACCAGACTGTGTGTGCCTTGGTGAAGCACCAGCTCTGTTCAGAAGGGATGCAGGACACCTTTGAAGAAATCATGGGACACAGGCCACACAGAGGGAGAAAGAAGCTCTTCAGCCTCCTGGAGCATTTTGAGCTCTGCCTGGAAGTGAGATACATTGAAGCACTAAACCCCCAGGCCAGTGAGTTTGTGCCCGGGAAGCCATGGGAGACAACACCGGTCCAAGATGAGTCCTCTTACATGTTCCCAACCTATCTGAATCAGTCTGAAGAAGTCTCTGAGGTGTGGGGAGGAGACCACCCTGAGGACCTCCATATCCATCCTCCACCTACTTCTCACCCTAAATACCTGAGGGTTTCTTCCAGAGATCATCAGTGGTTTTCAGTCCTCAATAAGGTTGCGCCGTTCAAGGTTTGCTTGGCACAGTGTCAGTATGACTGTCAGCAAAACCTGGGCTGGATGTACCCTATCATCTGAGGCATGAGGGCAGGATTCTGGAGACCAAAGCAGCTTTTTAGCTCTGCCATGGATGTGTGGAGCCCTGGGTGAACCATTTCATTGTTCACTGCCTGGATGTGAGCAGGACCATACTCCTTCTAGTTCACCTTTTCTCTGGGGTAGTTTTTGGCTAGTCTGTGCCCATACAGTCAGTCAGAGGTCTCCCAGTTCCACCTGAGGAAGCTCCAGTTTCTACAGGTGCCAGGACTGTTCCAGTTTCTGGAAGGTCTCCTGTCCTTGTGGGGTTCTTGTCTTGTGTCCAGAGTTTTATCTGATGGCCAACCCTGGAAGCAGCTCTTGGCTTAAAAGGCTGCTCCTGCTGCTTGAGCTTTCAGTAGGGCAGAGTACTCATATGGTGTCTACCTCTGCCTACTGAAATTTGGTCCATATTTTTCAAGTCCACCTGGTGCCATGCTTTCTCCCAGTATTAGAGATAAGCAGGGAGTAGGGTGGTGACAGCTGTGGGAAATGGCTTTACAGGATCCTGGTGAAAGCTTGCTTCTTCTACTCCATCCACTGGGTGGCCAAGACGACTTGCCTACTCATATGTAATGGCAAACCTCTGCTGATCAAAGAGAATAACCAAAGGACCTACAGCTACTTGGAGCTTTGGTGCAGAAAGCCAGTAGGAAGGACAGGTAAGGATCACTGATCTTTATCCTCTGACTCCCAATCACGTCTCTCCTTAGCTGCCCCCCTGCCACCTCCACCCCTCTAAGAAGAGCATACCAGAAGCCTCTACCACAAGTCCTAATGTGGCGAGGGTTCACGAGAAGTTCAGTTAAAGGTTTCCCTTTTCTCCATGCAACATGGGTTGGAACTAGATGATTTTTAAGGTCCCTTCCAACTGAAACCATTCTATGATTCCTCTCAAGGTAGCACATGAACATGGAACGTCAAGTTTTCAGTCTTCTCATGGAGCCAATGGTTCATTCTTCCTCATAATGTCCCAGCAGGGTACAGTCTCAGGCTGGGTCTCCAAGTGATAGTTCAGTCAGGGAGCTCTTCCAACATATCTTTAAATTCCCTCTGAAGGCTGATAGCGAAATTGAGAAGTGGAGCTCATCCAACCATTCTGGCTGTGGCCTGGTGGACTGGAAGCAATGCATGCATCTCCTGGGCTGCTGTGGTTGGGTGGCTGTGAGTGAGACATTCTTCTTTTGCTTGCAAGGTTTCCTGTTTAGCTGGGCCTTCCTCATGGCAGTTGTATTCAAAGCTTGCTGCAGAGTGGCCAGAGTGCCCATGTGCATGAAGACCCCCTGCCGAGCAGTCAGCTGTCCTGCAGAGCTCATCTGGCCAGGCATGGATGGCACAAGTGCCATGTACATACATGCTGTACTCTAAGCCAAGGACTGGAGCTGGGTGGTTGCTATCACAATGCTGGTGGGGCTGGTCAGCTTCTAAAAGCCATGTGAAATTAGTTGTGCAACTCCCCAGGCACATGTTGCCTTTCTCCTGACCATGTCCTGCAGTGTTAGCATTTTCATGTGGGAAATTCAAGCATGGAAAAAAAAAACACCAAACGTGACAAATTTGAGACTCTGGGGTTTAAGCAGATAATGTCCACCCTGCTCAGGTGCCCACGTCCCCCATTTCATGAAGAGCTGAAGGTAGTCAGTCATCTGGGAAGGCAGCAGCCATCCCACCAACTACAAGACCTCGGGTTGGGGTGGGAAGAGGGAGCCTCTTCCATTGCCTTGGCATTAGCTTCATGGGAAGTGCTGAGGGCAGCTACTGTTCCGTTTTCTTCTTGGGGCTTTTTCCTTCACAGGTTGAAGGAAGACAATAGAACCTGTGGGACATGTGGGCATCAGTTTGGTGCAGAGCTGCTCCTGCCCAAAGGTGAGCCCAACAGTGCTCAAGGGGAAGGAGCGATGAGGGTTTCATGGAGTTGAGGTGCTGATGGTGTCCCCCCATCACCACAGTGCCCAGGCAGCTGGTGGAGCCCCTGGTGCAGCCCATAACAAGCTATGGGACCAGCACCTTCAGGCCCAGGAACACTGATGTCAGTCAGCAGGTAAGATGACTCCTACCTCCCCTTGCCTACAGTCCAACGCTGATGGCCAGGCTTATGCTCTCCCCTCACTCCTGAAATAACAGGGTGCAGTGGCTTCCAGCCTGGGGAGTGGACATGCCATCTTCAGGCAGCATTCTGGTGACCATGCTCCCTCCTGATATACCACCACCTCTGCGCCTCAGAGCTGAGTGCTGGGTACTTCATGTTGTAGTTACTGCCGTATTTTTCCAGAACATCTCAAATAAGTAACTCTGGGCCAGTGGGGAGGTGCTCACCAAAGAAAGAATAATTTTTGTTGTTTAGCCAAAGTCAAGTGGTCCTTAACACGCTTTGACTGCATGACAAGTCATATGTTTGCAGTCTCAGTGCATGGAAATAAATGCACCAGTAAATGCATTCCTTCATACATGAGAAGTCACCTCACTTAGAGAAATACAAGGGGGAGCTGCTGCCAAGCACTTTGGTATGAGCCCACTGCCAGCAGGGGCTTTGCAGGGACAAACTGACCTCACACCCCCATGGTTTTGGCAGATGGGAAGGCTTGAAGGTCTCAGACTGATAGTGGGGGCAGATGTCCCAGCAATATCAGCAAGCAGGAAGAACCTTTGTATACCTTTCTATATATTTAAACTTAGAAAACATGAAAACAAATCTGTAAATGACCATGCTCCACAAAACAGACATTAAGAGCTGATGGAGGGGAAAGGCAACATCGGCTCCTGGTGAAGCTGTCCTTGGGGTGGGAGGAGCAGAGGAGGAATGGTCCTGGGGGGATGCTGATTTGTGCAGCCCCTGATGCCTGGTGATCCTCCACTGGTTCGTCCCCTGTTCCAGGGTGCCATGGGGAGCAGGGCGGGTGGGAGTCAGTCCACCTGCATGTCACACTGCTCAATGAGCTCGAAGAGGCTGAAGGAGTCAGAAAGCTGCAGGCTGACAGTACCACTGTCGAGGGAGGAGGCTCCCTCCCGCAGCACCTGCTCGTACCAGTATTCACAGAACTTGGGCACCAGCTGTGGCAGCAAACAATCAGGGTTACAGGCAGGGTTAGGGGCAGCTGCTCAATGTGGCTGCAATTCTCTGCATGGCCCCATCCTCCTCCCCTAGCCCCCGAGGAGCCCCATGCCTGGGCAGCTGCCTCCCACCCCATCCTGCCCAGCCACCAAAGGTCCCCATACCCAGGCAGCTACTCCCTGTCTAGAGTGGCCATCCCTAGACTCCTGGCCCACAAGAGTACCCTCCTGAGGCACATGCCTCTCCATATTTTCTCTGCTTCCCAAGGTTTCCTTCCCTAGGTACCCAGCTCCTCCCCAACCCCAAACCCCTGCGCATCCTGTCCCTTGGGCATCCAGACCCCCATCTCCACTGGACATCTTTGGGCACCCAGGCATTCATCTCCACTGACCCCTGAGGGTCCCTCTTCCCAGACCCTGAGGAACTCCTATCTCCCCTGAATCCCAAGGGTACCCCCTCTCATCAGGCACCCAGATCATATCTCCCCCAGCCCCTGGGGGTGCCCCTCCTTGGGCACTCAGATCTGCCTCCCCTCTCCCCCAGATCACAAGAGTCTCCCCTTGGACATCCACACCCTCATCTCTCCCAGGCCCTGAGGATCCCCCTCCCTGGGCACCTATCTCCCCTGGTCCCCCAGAGTCTCCCCCTTCCTGGGCAGTGGTCGGGCAGGGGTGGGTGTTGCCGCCGCACCTTGACCAGGATGAGCTTGGACTCCTTGGGCTTGGCCTTGGAGAAGGACTGCCCGAAGCAGAGATAGATGGTGAAGTCTGGAGACTGCCGCCTTTGCCTGTTGCGGAAGTCCCTCAGCTCTGCAAGGGGAGACAGGATTCAGTTTTAGGATAAGCCTGGGGAACACAGAGGGGCTGGGAAAATTCAGATGCTTGTGACATCTGGAGCTGGCTCCCACAAGCCAGTAAACTAAGATGCCAGGGGTGGGCTGGGGAGGAGAAAGGGATGACAGCGACATAGAACACCACTTCCAACCTGAGCAAAATTCATTGAAGTCAAAGATGGGGGTTTCCTTGTCCCGGCGGAGCTCGTTGGATGGAGGGTCTCCAACACCCTCGAGCTGCTGGGACAGGACCCAGAAGATCTTGCACTTCTTGAGGCGGGTGGCAAAGAGCTTGTGGGAGCGTTGCTCCAGCTGCAGCCCTGCGATGCCCAGCAGCTTCTCCGTGTACTGCCGCTGCTTGCCGTCGGCCAGCTCGGCGGGGCTGGGGAAGCGCACCAGGTGCCCGGGGCGCAGGGCCAGCGCTGGGTCGCTCGTCTGGTACGCCAGCAGGCACCTGCTGTCCTCCACCTCCTCCTGGTGGAACAGCCTTCCCCGGTAGTAGATGCTGATGTCCAGGAGGGGGATGATGCCATCTGCCCCAGGCAGTAATCAGCAGCAGCACTCCCCCAAACCCAAGTGCTCCTCCTCCCCAAAGCACCTCCCTCCAAGTATTAATAACTTAATAATTATACACAATATTTGTTACTAATAATTACAGTGATTAATGATTGCTATAAATAACCAGTAACCCTCACCTGTGTTACGCTCCGGCAGAGGGGGCACTGGCGCAGGGCTGGCAGCAGGGGCAAGGAGCATCATCTCCCCTGTGGACAGCACGGGTACTGTGCCCTCCAGCGGGAGGCACAGCAGTGGCGTGGCCTCTGTGGTGGCAGATGGGCAGCATCAGCATCGTGACTTGGGGTGCAGTAGGGTGGAGGGTGCTTTGGCATGGAGCGCATATGGCAGCACCCCAGCCTCATCCCACCCCGTTATGTCATTTCCATGCCCAGGTCTGAATCCTGCCCCACAGTACCCACCGTGCTCCTGCAGCAGCAAGGGGTTGAGGGGACTGTTGGTGCCCAAGGGTGGCTGTTCCACCATGGGTACCCATTGCTGAAATGCCAGGTAATTGTTTTGGCTGGAGTTTGGGTGAGGCTGGAGCATGGTATCCTGGGGGGGGACATCTCCTGCAGAGAAGTTACCGGTGGGGAGGGGACAAGGTTACACACCCATGGTGTTGCCCACCCTGCACCTCACAAGCAGGGCCTGTCTCACCTGCAGGTTCCCAGGAAGGATTATGGGGACCAGCATCACGGGGAGAGATGCCACACTGCTTCAGCACCTGCTGCAACTCCTCCATGTCCTTCAGCACTGGGGGCTGTGTGGGGTCAGTGCTGCCTGAGGGGAGGTATAGCAGATGGGAGGTCCCATAACTCTAAAACTGGCCCAAGATACCAGGGTGTGCTCCCAAAAGAACTGGGGGACCAGTGCCTACCTAGGGGGATGTCTTGGGAGACGAGCTTCAGCTGCAGAGGGAATTAGGACAGGGTCTTATTGCTGGGAATGGGAGGAACCCAACCTCCCCCTGCTCCATATTTTTTGCCTGAGCTCCAGCTTGGAAGTACTCCAAGGTTGCAATGCTCTAGCATTGCAACCAGCCCACCATGCCCACCCTCTTACCTGCAGCTGCTGGTGCAATGGCTGCTGTTCCACCACAGGATCGCAGCTGCTGAAATCTCCCTCCTCACTGTGCGAGAGGGCAACTGGAAGGAGAGCAGCATGACCCAGGTGCCCCAAGATTGCCTGGTCCACCACCACACCCCGCAAGCCTCCTGGCTCACCTGGGGTGATGGCAAAGACCTTGTGTGGGTCATCACCAGACTTGGAGTGGTCATCTAGCAGCTCAAACATGCGGGTGCTCCTCAAAGCACAGCGGAAATTGGTCTTCCACTTGGCCGGGTCCTCGGGGCACCCCTCGTACCGCCCACTCGCCTTTGCCCAGGCCTGGAGGAGGTGCAGGGTGGGGTGAGCATGGGCATCCCACCTCCATAAGCCTAGAAATGTCAGGGGTGCCTCATCTCCCTCCTGCTCACCAATTCCCACCTCAACAACCTCAAGGTTGCTGCTGGTCACCCCCCATCCCACCCACCTTGAAGATCTCCAGGTCACTGCTGGTGACATCCTTCCTTGCATTGTGCTTCCAGGGGACGCGGAAGATGCCCTGGGCCGGGTCTGTCCAGCACAGCCCAGGGTATTTCCCGCTGTTGACGGCGTTCACCAGCCAGGGCCCGAACCGCAGCTTCTGGGCCTCCCTGCGGGCGCGGAGCCGTCACCGGGGTGGGGGGGCAGGAGGAGATGGACCGGGGTGACCAGGGAACGGCGACCCGGGGGCAGGGGCCCGGAGCGGTGCTTACCCCTCGCTCTGCAGGGCTGCCATGGCGGGCGG